CCTGGCAAGTGTTTTAGGGAAGCGAGCAGCATTAGGGGAGGCTCAGAGGCATGAAAGCAATTCTCTGCTGGGCATGGTGGCTCAAGCCTGTAATCCCAGCACTTTGGGAGACCGAGGCAAGAGGATGGCCTGAGCTCAGGGTTCGAGACCAGCCAGGGCAACTTGGTGAAACTTCATCTCTACAATAAATAAAAAAATAGGCAGGGCGTGCTAGTGCATGCCTGTAGTGCCAGCTATTTGGAAGGCCGAGGTGTAAGGATCACCTGAGCCCAGCAGGTCGAGGCTGCAGTTGCCGTGAGTGTGCCACTGCACTCCAGCCTGGACAACAGCGTGAGACTCCAACTCAAAAAAAACAAGAAAAGAAAGCAATTCTCTGAATCTTTAGACACCAAAGCTATTGTCTGTGGATAAGTGATGAGCGCAATGTCTCTGACAACAGAGTGTGTGCTTGCATGTGTGTTTCCTCCTTATTCCTTTTCCTGAAAACAAACAAACAGTGCCCAGGTCTGCTTGAGTGCAGATTTCAGGGCTGTCACTCAAACCCTCCCCTATCTGCTGACATTGTCTAAAATCACCACAAGGGTTTTCACCTCCTGACCTTAAAATGTGGATCTTTTTTTCAAAATACAAGTGCAGGGCTGGGGGTAGGGTAGTGACTCGCATCTTGACCTCTCCCCACTGAAGGCAGAGAAGACTTCGGAAGGCCCAGGGAAGCTGCTGAAGCCACCAATCCCTGTGCCAAGATCTCCACCCATTTCCATCACAGACAGAGATCGTCAAAGCCAGATGGCTAATATCCCCATTTTCTTGACAGCAAAACAGAGTCCCTGGGAAGTCCTGTGCTCCCCAGGGTCATGCAGGAGGTTAGTGATGGAGAATTAAGGAAAATTCAGGCCACTGGAGAACTTTTGAAATGACTGCCTGGAGATATTTTTAGCACAGGACCAGACACCCAGCCCTGGCTCCAATAAATCTTCATCAAGAGCAGAACATTGTTGTCAATTAGGATGATGTACTGAGGCATTCTTAGAACCACAATAAGTAAATTAGTTTAAATATAGTTTACAATAAGTAAACTATATTTAAAGGTACCTCTTAGGTTGATGGCCCCAAAATAAAACATCCTTTAGAGAGAACACCTTCAAGACAAGGGGCATATCTGTCATCCCATCGTCGCAACGGCCCAGGGATGGAGATGTTGCTATCCCCATTTTACAGGCAGGAAAAATGAGGTTCTGAGATGAGCCAGCTGTCTGTGGCCCACTGGTAATGGGAACAGTAGCTAGGGTTGCAAGCCAGCCCCTTCCCCTCACTTTGCCCTGTTAGGACAGGCAGGCAGACGCTTGGCTTGTGTTATATCCCACCAGGGAGTTGAGATTCTCCATCAGTGATTTGATTTTTTTCAATGTAACTTGCTTTTGAAGAATAACATACATGTAGAAAGCACAGTGTGCTGCTTGATGATGTTTACAAACAGAGCACACTGGTATAACCAGAACTCAAATCCAGGAGCAGAACAATACCTCATCGGACCGCATTTGGACACTCACTGCTGCCCCAAGGTCGCCACTGCCCTGACTTCATCACCCTGCTTTTAAACTCTCTATGGAAGAAGTGACATAAAATGTACTTTTCTTTCACTCAAAATTATATTAAGGGCTTCCTCCGTGTTCTTATGTGTAAAGTGGTTCCTTCATTCTCATGGTTGATTGGTATTCTGCTATATGAAAGTACACAATTTACTTTTACGTTCCACTCTTGATGGGTAGCAGAATCGTTGCTTCCGGTTTGGTGCCATCACAAGGAATGCTTTTTAGAGCGTTGGTATATGCGCTCTTTACATGTGTCTGCCTTTCTGTTGGGTGTTCACCCAGGAAATTCAGCTTTAGTCGATGTGCCCACTTTTCCAAAATGGCCGGGCCAGTTCACACTCCCACTCGAAGCTGTAATCCCAGCACTGTGAGAGGCTGGGGCGAGAGGATTGCAAGCGTTCTGCTTGCTCCACGTCCTCACCGGCACTTGACACTGTCTTTGTCATTTCAGCCGTTCTGGTTGGCATGTAGTGAAGTCATATTATGGTGATTTATGCTTTCCTGATGATTCGTGAAGCTGAGCACTTTTTCATATGTTTATGGGCCATTTGGATACTCATCTTCATGGACAACTGTTCTTTTTCAATTGTATCATTAACTGAAAAATATTTCTGAGAATAGCTCCCTTGCTGGAAAATTCTGCTCCCCATTTCTGTTTTGCTTCCTGTCTGGGGGATGGTTTCCAGTGTCGGCATCTGGCAGTTCTAATAAAGTTCCCCAAGCCTGGGGGTGGGGAGTGAGAAAGGAGAATCCAGGAATAGGACCAGTCAACATGGGGCCTCCTCAGAATTCTTACAGTTCCACAGTGGGACAAGAGCTCAACCTGTGCACTCTGGGATCATCCAGGTTTCCTCAGAAGTTAGGGGAGGTGATGTATATTTCACATTTAGAGCTAGCCACGTGCTCTGAACTCCAGCCCCCTTTTCCTTCTCCCTTTGGAGTTTAGGCTCTAGATTGATTTCAGTGACTGCAGAGAGAAGAAGACAGATGACATTGTTTCCTTCTCCTCTCTGGTCCCTATTGGGCAGGGAGCACACAGGGAGTTGGGTTTGCTGTCAAGTCTTAGCATTTTGGGCATTGAGGACCCACTGTGTGCCTGGAGCATTAAATCAGTTAAGAAATCTCTTAAGGTCTGGCAACGACTGGCTCAGTTTTCTTCATGCAAGGTGGGGGTAGGGAGCAGGAGAGCTGGGGACAAGGGTGTTGCTGGGTGAGAGACAGGGATGCCCTGGGAGGGAGGTCAAATGTTGGCTTGGGCACAGTGATTGGCAGACTGGAGGCGAGTGATCAGCCTTCTGGGCCTGGAAAATAGGGCATGGCCGGGCCTATATATTTTTCTACCCTGGACATTTCATATAAATAAAAGTATGCAATTTAAAAAATAATAAATGAGAAAATTTTAAGAGAGGAGGCAGGGTACAGTGGCACACTCCTGTAATCCCAGCACTTTTGGAGGTTAAGGCAAGAGGATTGCTTGAGCCTAGGAGTTGGAGACCAGCCTAGGTAACATCCCAAGACCTCCTCTCTAAAAAAAAAATCAAAAACTTAGCTGGGCACGGTGGCACGCACCTGCAGTCCCAGCTACTCAGGAGACTGAGGCGGGAAGATCGCCTGGACTCAGGAGGTCAAGGCTACAGTGAGCCATGATCGTCCCACTGCACTGCAGCCTGGATGACAGAGTGAGACCCTGACTCAAAAAATATAAATAAAAAGAGAGGACACAGAGGTGAGTGTGTTTGAAGCACTGACGCTCCTTGCAGATAGCCTCGAGACCGCGCCTCACATAAGGAGAGCTGGATGCACTCGTGTGCACGGCTTCTGGCGCATGCGCCCAGGCCCGCTTCAGCCTCGATGGCTCTCTTTAACTCTGCAGCTCCAGCCAATGAAAATTCCTGTAAAGCACACTCTAGGCCACATTCCCACCCCTCGCGACAATATTCCTACCACAACTCTTGTGCTGATGTTTACCATCTAATAGTTTCATTGCATCTCAGTACATTATAGAATGCTTTAAGAGTATCATTTAGGCCGGGCTTGGTAGCTCAGCCTGTAATCTCAGCACTTTAGGAGGCCAAAGTGAGTGGACTGCCTGAGCCTGCGGGTTCGAGCCCAGCCTGGGCAAATTGGCAAGACCGAGTCTCTACAATAAATTAAAAATATTATCCAGGTATGGTAGTGCGTGCCTATAGTTCTGGCTGCATGGAAGGCTGAGGCGGAAAGATCGCTGGAGCCCAGCAGGTCAAGCTGTGGTGGCTGTGAGTGTGCCACTGCACTCCAGCCTGGGCGATAGCGTAAGACTCCTAAGTTGGGAAAAAAAAAAAAAAAAGAATAGCATTTATTGTGTTACCAAAAAGCACTAAGGCACAGATTGAGGCCACCAGCATGTGCCATCCAACTAATGCCCGCTGATCAGCACTGTTCCTCTCCCCCTAAACCTCCCAGCCTGTCCTATTTCGTGCCTCTGTGCCTTTGACTGTTCCCTTTGCCTAGGACGTCCTCCCCACCCTCGTGCCTTCAATACTCCTATGCACTCTTCAAAATCCCATTCAGATGCCCTCTCTTTAAAGCTTTCAAGTAGCCCCTCTCTACAGAAGCTGCCCAGTGTCTGTCCCTGTGCATTTAGGAATTATTGCATATACAGCATCCTATTTAAATTATTCATCTATTTAAAATTCCAAACCATGAGCCCTCCCCCGCACCCCCCCCCAACTGTTTCTGGCGCTGGCTTAGGTATCTCAGTATTCCCAGGCCAATCAGAGGGCCTGGAGGAGAAAAAGAGCTTACTAAGGATGTCTGTAGTAAACCAGGTTAAACTTGGCTTAACTGGTCCTATGTCCAGAGGTTCTGTTGCTTATGGATTTTTCCAGAACTGGGTGAAAATGCATCCCTCTGCTGACCATTAAAAAAAAAAAGCCACAGGGGAAGTTTGAGGGTTCAGAGGCATTTCAAACAGCCTCTCTAGCTCTAACCTGTGTGTAAGGGGAAGTCCTGGTAAGAGGAAGCCCCTCTGCAGACCACCCAAGGCCAGTGGCTCTCAAACTTTTTCAGAGATACAAGGTCTTGCTATGTTGCCCAGGCTGCTCTTGAACTCCTGGGCTCAAGCGATCCTCCTATCTCAGCCTCCCAAAGTGCTGGATTATAGGCGTGAGCCACCATGCCTGGCCCAGCTGTCGAACATTTTTTATCATGACCCACAGTGAGAAGTACTTTTATGCTGAGACACACTAAACACCCACATCAGAGACAAAGCTTTCCTAAAGTAACGTTTACCCTTACTACGGGCATTTCTCCCATTTTCTCTTTCCATTATAAAACAAGATATTGCTGGTCACCACCCACTGAATGGATTTCATGACTCTCGTCTCACAGATGCAGCCCTTAACCATCTCCCCCTTCCTCTCATTGCAGCCGAACCCCTGCCCCTCATGGACCTTTGCCGGCGATCCGTCCGCTCCGCCCTGGGCCGCCAGCGCCTGCAGGACATCGGCTCCCTGCCCCTGCCTCAGTCTCTCAAGAACTATCTGCAGTACCAGTGAGCTCGGCCTGATGGACAGCAGGGCAGCAAGGACACGCCCCAGGGGGGGCCGGGCCGCCTGTCACTCACAGTCGCGTGGCACATTGGAGAAGCATCACCCCTCACCCTGGCTCTGGACATTTAGTTCCCAAAAGGCCAGGGCACAGTACGAACTTTGGAAACAAAAGGTCTGTGGCCAGTGCTATTTGCTGTCCCCAACACTGCCCTCTCAAGTCATACACTTTCTCGGGAGCCGTGGGGGGAGCCTGGAGCCCGAAGCCAGCACCTGGTGGCAATCCTGCCCGCCGACCAGGACCCCGGGGCCACCCGTATTGATCAGAGAGCCTGATTCCTCATTCAAGGGGATGAATAAAACATTTGGGCAGGAGACTTGCTATCATGTGCCCCGTGGCAGGCAGGGCCAGGGGAAAATTGGCCGGCGTGGGCAGAAAATTGCCTCTGAATAATGAATGAAGAAGGCAGCTTGATGCTGTGCCCCTCTGGCCCCCTCCCCTGCCAGGGCAGCAGGACCAGTCGCGTTTTAGGATTTGGTGCCACTATGAGAGACTGTTCCCGGGATGCCCACCCGCAGAACTGGCAGATGGGCAGAGCAGTGTTGAGATGCCTCTGCTTACCTCGGTGAGCGTTGTTGACTCCCTCCTTTTCCCGTGCCCTCCTTCCTGGCCACTGGCACATGGCTCTTGGAGGCTCCAAACACCTTTCTTCGGGGACAAGGAGTCTGACAGATTCACCCCAGGGAGAGGAGTATCATTATTTTCGGTAGCATTCGCATCTTAAAAGAGGAGTGTAGGGAGGACAGTGCTTAGTCCAAAGGTGCTAATGGGGAAGCCAGGGGGCATTGTGACACCCAAGTCTGATGGCATCCTGGGCTGGGGAGCCTTCCCAGAGCATCCAGAGTCTCTGGGCAATATTCATTCAGGGGGCAGCATGGCTGTCACAAAGCTTTATTTGAGCGAATTATTTTTTCACTTTAGGAAACTTCTACGAGTTTGTTTCCTGTTTCAAATGTGTGTGTGATGTGCTGTTTATTTATCAGCTTGGGGCCCGTGGGGGCAGCCTTGTAACTGGAAGGGTGGATGCCGGAGACATTCCCAGCCTGCCCAGGCCTGGTTCTCCCACGGGAATGATGCCGCTTCCGCCACCACCACCATGGCCGCCACCGTTGGGCATCTCTTGTGGGTTTCAGATGCCCTCTGCCCAGACTCATTTTTAACTGGAAGTTGTCACAGTAGTGGGATGCCAGAGCCCCAGACGGCACTGCCCCTCCCCGCCGCCCCCACTTTAATGTGAATTTGACCGATGAATGAGGAGCATTTCTAATAAAGTTTGTTAATTGAGTCCTTCAGCTGCATATGAAATCCTCTTTGGGGAGGCCGGGAGGGCTGCCCCCATCAAGCTGGCTGATCTGTCCTCAGACTCGGGGAGGCCAGGTCTGGGAACCTCTCCCCAGGCATTTCTTGCTTCTTCTGTCTTGTGTCCCTGCTTGAGCTCAAACCCAGGCTATGATGGAAATGCCTGCCCTGGAAGAGAGAGTGTGCCCAGGGCCTGGAGCTGCACAAAGTTGTCCTTAATGGTAGAATAGCAGCTCAGACTCCTGATTCCAGGGCCGTGCTGCCCAAGGGGTGGCTCTGGAAAGAGGCCTGGGGTCAGGCAGGACAAACTCTACAGGACACCAGTTTCTAGGTGGACCTGGCGGTGGGGCTGGATGTGGCTATGGTGAATGCATGCTGTCACCAAGGAGCAGCACAAAATTGCTGAAGGGTGAACGTGTGGGAAGGCCGGGGTCAGGGCTGATGGTGGTTCAGGAGTCGAAATCAGGGCAGGATCGAGGTCAGGACTGACACAGCGTTCACTCGGCCATATCAGCCACCGGCACGAACCATGCCAACCCTCGGGGACCCAGATCGATGCCTGTCCTCTCCAGATACGTTCAGAGTGCTTCATCGTAAAGTGAAAAGGAGCTCACAAAGGAGGGTGGAGGAGGATAGAATATGAAGGGAGCCTTCCTGGAGGAAGAAGCACTCTCCAGACCTGCTATCTGGAGAAGACAACCTTCCTGAGAATGGCCCAAAAGAACCACACTTGGCACCTGCCTCCGGGTACAGTGTTCCTCCCATTCTGACCTCAGGTTTTGACTCAGCCGCAGGCAGATTTCAGCAGTTAGGATGCAGGAGGTCTGGGTTTGAGTCCCAGCTTCATTACATGCGCTGTGACCTTTGGGAAGTCACTTCCTCCTGGGCTCACTCTGGGGGTTGGACCAGATAGCCAGTGACTGGGGACCCTTCCTCCCCAACTCATGGGGGTCCCAGTCTCAGCACCAGCCTGCCAGCAAGGAGGCATCTGTCTTGTCTCTGCCTCGTGTATGCAGGTTCCCTCATCCCAGCAATGCCCTTCTGGTCCTTACTTCACCCTCTCCGGGATCTGGCTTAGAGTGGCCTCCTCCAGGAAGCCCTCCTTAACCACTCCACTCATCTCTGCCTGCTCTGAGCAGTCAGATCCCCACCTAAGGATGCCTCTGCCGGCACCCAGGACTCTTCCCAAGCACTTGGACTGGGGCTCCTGTCTACCCAGTGGTCTCATCCGCCTGGCAGACTGCACCTCAGGAGGGCAGGGCCTGTGCCTGCTTCGTGCCTCACAGCCATGGACCAAACACATGGACTCAGCAAAGGCTTGCAAAGGTGGAGGGTGGGTGGCAGTGCCCTCCTGTACTGGAATGCCCATGGGAGCCTTTCCCTGGGATGCCTGGGAGCCTCATGACCCACCCCCCTACACCAGGTCCATCATGACCAGCCTCCTCCCATGCTTGGCACATGCTCTGAGGTTTGGCCTCTCACAATGGCACTTGATAGAACAGTCCTGGTAATCACTTTCTAATTGTCTAAGCACAGAGCATATGGTGGGCATGGTCCCCCGCAGAACCCATCCCCACCGGGCACCCTGGCTCATTCTTTACCCATCTGACATTCCCGCTTTCTGGATAAGGCCATCCTGATTCCCTCGCTTTCCTCCTCTGTCACCTGCACTAGCAGCTGGCTCCTCTGTGGGCCACCACTCACCAGAAAACAAAGATTTCATCACCTCATGGTATCACAGCAGATGTGGCAGCAGGTAGCAAGCAACTCAGCTGCAGGGCGATTGATTTGTGCCAGGGCAGCTGTCCCCATTCCCCAGGGCATCAGTCCCAGCCACAGCCTCTGAACAGGAGGCACATGTGTGCCCAGGAAGACGGACAGGGGACCACACGACATTACTCTTCCAGTCTCTGCAAAGAGTGGAAATGCCCAGTTTTAGTCCAAAACACAAGAAATGGGTCCACTCTCCCCTCTAGTTCTGGGTGCTTGGATCTCATTCCAACCTGAAGTTGTGTTTCGTTGTCCTGCTTTGTGTATGTTTTAATAAAATTGAGCCCAACAAAGAAAAATCAAGTACTTTAACAGAGGAATCCAGATTTCAGACTTCTCTTGAGAAATAGAGAAATGTGGTAAAAGCTAGGCCCACATTCCTTCATGGTGAGGTTGGCTGAAGCTGAGGAGTGACAGCCCCTTGAGATGAGGCCCGTGTTCTGGGGTCCACCCTGGGTTCAACCCTCCCACCACAACATCAGGCCGTCTCACTGCCGCCCCCGTTGGCTTTACCTCCCAGGGTCTGGCCAAGGCCTCTGACTGGACTGTTAGTATCATGCACATCAGTGGGTAATGAATACACACACACATACACACTCGGCCGAGGGAGGGCTCAAGAGAGGAGAGGCTGCTAGTTTTGCACTTGACTTTGAAGTTTCTCACAGCCTCAGCCACCAATGTTTACAGACACGCAGAAACCTCACTCAGACACCAGAGATAACCTCTTTGTCCCTGGTTAGATGGTGAACTCCTAGAGGATAAGGAAAAACATTCGCAGACACTGTTTTTAATGAACTGGATGATGTGATTAGACAGCCTGGCTGCACATTAGAATCCCCAAGGAACTTTGTCAAAAGTCCCAGTGCCCAGGTCCTTCCCCAGACCCATTAAATCAGGGCCTCTGGGGGTAGGGCTGGGCCATAGCGTTTTGTAAAGCTCCCCAGGTGATTCTTCTATACAGCCAGGGCTGAGAACCCCTGGATAAGGTGCTTAATGAAGCCGTCTACATGAAGAAGTGGCTGAGTTCCTGAGAACACACATCCTAGATCAGAGAACATCGCTCCTGCCTGCCCAGCGTTCCCAGAGCAAGGAGGGTGCTGGGTAGCAGGCATCCCCAGTGTGGTCAAGTCCAAAGCCAGGGAGCCCTTCCCAGTCTTCCTTTCCAGCAAAATTGAGCTGGTTGCCCTTGAGAATGGGGGAAGAGGAGTGGAGACGACCAGCCCCTCCTGCCTTGATGCTGCACAATCTTGACATTTATTCCAGCCCACCCACTCCCTGATCTGTGAGCCCCACGGTGTGTAGAGAACTTCCCAGATGGCACTGTCATGATCAATCACAACCACTCTAGGGCTGGGCGTGGTGGCTCATGCACGCCTGTAATCCTAGCACTTAGGGAGGCCATGACAGGAGGGTTGCTTGAGCATGGGAGTTTGACACCAGCCTGGGCAACATAATGGGATCTCATCTCTACAAAAAAATTTAAAAAATTAACTGGGCATGGTGATGTGCGCCTGTAGTCCCAGCTCCTCAGGAGACTGAGACAGAAAGATCACCTGAGCCCAGGAGGTCGAGGCTGCAGTGAGCTGAGATCGTGCCCCTGCACACCAGCCTGGGCAATGGAGTGAGACCCCACTCAAAAAAAAAAAAAGACTGGATGCGGTGACTCAAGACTATAATCCCAGCACTTTGGGAGGCCAAGGTGAGAGGATTGCCTGAGCCTGTGGGGTCAAGACCAACCCAGGCAATATGGTGAGACCTCGTCTCTACAATAAATCAAAAAATTAGCCGGGCATGGTAGCGCGTGCCTGTAGTTCCGGCTACTTGGAAGGCTTAGGCAGAAGGATTACCTGAGCCCAGCAGGTCAAGGCCGCGGTGGCCGGGAGTGTGCCACTGCACTCCAGCCTGGGTGACAGAGTGAGACTCCAATGCAAAATAAGAAGAATCACTCTAGAATAATGAGTAAAGAGCAGACTGGAAGTGGTTTGATCTTGAATGTACTATTTTGAACAGAAAAATTTGAGATCATGAGACCTGGCTATAAGAATGGTTGGTGCTATGTATTTCCAAACTCTGCTTCCTAAAGCCAGATAACACATTTGACCAATAATAATGAGGTCACCCTCCACTTCTCTGATGGGTTTTGGAATAAAGTGAGACAGTGACAAGTCAAGCCTTGTTTGGTGGCAGTGTACCCCCTGCTTTGCCTATCCAACAAGCAGGACTCTTGTCCTAGGAGGAGTCTTGGTGTTGGTAGAAGGCCCAGTCCAGTTAGCCCAAGTAGGGGCAGCAGAGTAAGTTATTTCTGTTTCTTGCAATCGGCACGAGAAGCCTCCGTGGCACTATCCCTGTGCCTAGGGATTTTCCATCCAAGGGAAATGATAGCTGATAATTTGCTGCACGGGGAAGACACTGAAGAAAAGAGTCGCCATTCAGTCATCACTTTGATTCATCAAATGGCTCTGCAACCAAGCTCCGTGCCAGGCCCAAGGGCACTCCTGCTGCCCAAGGGCACCCACACACCTCAGGGAAACAGAAGGGCAGTGACGCCCGAGCCACCAGGCCAGAGGAGAGAAGGTAGCAGAAGCCAATGCAGGAGGTGTGAAGAGTCAAAAGTGTAGGGGCAACATTGAGGAGTCCCCGGTGACAGAGGACAAGCTGTATGGAGCAAGGGACAGTGATGAAGGGTGGGGCTTTGCAAATCACACTCAGGAACAAGGGCTGGGGATGTGTCTTAGTAAGTTCGGGCTGCTTTGACAAAGTGCCACAGACTGAGCAGCTTAGAAGCAGCAGAAATGGAAATATTCCTCACAGTTCTGGAGGCTGTAGGTCCAAGATCAGGGGGCCAGCACGGCTAAGTTCTGGCAAGGGTCCTCTTCTGGGCTGCTAACTGCTCGTGTCTTCACACGGCAGAGGGCAAGAGAGCTCTTCGGGGTCTCTTCTATTTTTGTTTATTTGTGTATTTATTTATTTATCTCACTCTGTCGCCCAGGCAGTGGCACGATCATGGCTCACTGCAGCCTTATTTTCCTCCTGGGCTCAGGAGATCTTTCTGCCTCAGCTTCCCAAGTAGCTAGGACTACAGGCATGTGCCACCATGCCTGGCTAATTTTTTATTTTTTGTAGAGACGAGGTCTCACTGTGTAGCCCAGGCTAGTGTCGAATTCCTGGGTTCAAGGAATCCTCTCATTTCGGCCTCCCAAAGTGCTGGGGTTACGGGCATGATCCACGGGACCCAGCCTAGGGTCTCTTTTATAGGGGAACTAATCGTGTTCATGGGGCTCCACCCTCATGACCTAACTAGGTCTCACTCCCTAATACCATCATGCTGGGGGTTGGGACTTCAACATATGGCTTTTGGAGGGCCACAAACATTCAGTCTGTAATAGCACAGGTCAGAGTTATAGGAGGAAATTGCTATCACCCTGAAACTGTAGACTAGGCCGGGCTCAGTGTCTCAGCCTGTAATCCCAGCACTTTGGGAGGCCAAGGCAAGTGGATTGCCTAAGCCCGTGGGTTCGAGACCAGTCCAGGCAACTTGGCGAGACCTCGTCTCTACAATAAATAAAGAAAGAAAGAATTAGCCGGGTGTGGTACTGCTAATTAGCCTATAGTTCCAGCTACTTGGAAGGCTGAAGTGGAAGGATCCCCGAGCCCAGCAGGTCAACACTGGTGTGGCCGTGAGTGGGTCACTGCACTCCAGCCTGGGCAACGGAGTGAGACCCCAACTCAAAACAAAAACAAAACCAAATCTGTAGACTGAAGAGAGTTTCAAGACAAAGGGACCATTACAGAGGTGTGGGCCGACTTCAGGGAAACCAGCAGCTGAGGGTAAAGAACCCTGGCCTAGAAACACCAGGAAGGGAAAATCGTTACTATCCCTTGACTCAAAGGGCCAAGTAAAGGCAACAGTAGCCACAGAGGACTTGCGGAAGCCACAGAGGACTTGAAGCAGGAATGATGAGGTCCAGTTTGTGGTTTTGCACCACCTTCCAGGAGGGCCTACGGGTAGGGGCTTAGCAAGAGGACAGGAGTAGAGGTGGGGAAATTGAGGAGAAAGTTGTTGGTGCTGGGCAACCCCCCTTGGGTCTCCTTCCGCTCTAGGAACTTTTCTGTCTTCTCAATAAATACTGCTTTAAAAAAAAACCGTTGGTGCCACAAAGAGAAAGAGGACCCACAGAGGGGCTGAAAAAGAGCTGGTACAAATGGGTCGAGTCCACTGGGGCTTCGTGACTTGGTGCAGGAGTTCATTAGGCCAGGAAAGGTGTGAGGACACCGGCAAATCATTCACTCACTGTTTCCCACCACTCCTTATCCTCTAGCAGGGAGGAGAGGGAGAGGGCAGATGGCAGGGTTGCCACAGTGAGGTGCTTGTAAATGTTTAACAGCCAGCTCCCTGGGGGTACATAAAAAATGCTGTTTCGTAGTGTTTTCTCTTTTCCATGATGTCAATACTTACACCACAGCCAATTTCAAGCTCCAGCGTAATGCCACTGAATGCAGCTTGGGAAGAGATGACCAGTTGCCAACCACCCTATGGTGTTTCTATCGTGCAGATACAGTAGATGCAAATTATCTGAAAAGAAAAGATAACAGCAAAATGTAGTAAAATAATTAAAAAGTGATGAGTTTTTAACATAATTTAGCTAACTGTAAGCTTATATAATGTAATTTGAAGTAACGACTGTAATCAATAATCAGCTTGAAGGATTTCTCACATTTTTGTTTTCATTTATTTTGTTTAGCTAGGAGCGGACTTGAAACTCAAGATTTCTAAAGTTTTTTGTTTTTGTTTTTGAGTAGGAGTCTCACTCTGTCGCCCAGACTGGAGTGAAGTGGCACGCTCATGGCCACCGCAGCCTCGTCCTGCTGGGCTCAGGTGATCCTTCCATGTCAGCCTTTCAAGTAGCTGGAACCACAGGCGTGTACCACCATGATCTGCTAAATTTTTAATTTATTGTAGAGACAGGGCCTAGACTGGTCTCAAACCCCTGGACTCAGGCAATCCTCTTGCCTCCGCCTCCCAAAGCACTGGGATTACAGGCATGGGCCACCGCTGCCCGGTAATTTCTAAAGTTTTAGCCATCAGCTTTTGCAAGCCAGTATGAGCCAACTCCAGGAAACCACTAGGCTGCTGGGATCGAGCAGAATTACCCAGGCTAATTCGGATCTTGTTTGGGCACCCGACTAGGCTTGAGCACATTTTGCTTGGCCTAACATTAAAGGTCCCTTTCCTGAAATGCTTCTTGATAAGTGACAAAGACAAGCTGGCTTACAGTAGATGGAAGTCAGGGAAGCCAGGCCTCAATGAAACCCTGTACAGAGCCTGACCCACCTACAGTCAGGAGACTACATAACTATCCACACACAACATGACCAGAGATGCTACTCCAAAACAGAAGGGCAAAATCTTAAAATGTTAGCAAATCCAATTTCGGGGTATATGAACAGGTTCATCATGACCAAAGTGGATTTATTTTGTGAGTACAAGATTGTTTTAACAAACAAAAAGTGATACAATTTATCATATTATCCAAATAGAAGGGGAGAAAACATTATCATTCCAATAGATGTAGAAAAACAATTTGCAAAAATTCAACACCTGTTTATGATTTTTTAAAAATGTTCATTAATCTAGGAAGAGATAAACACTTTAACCTAGTAAATGATATTTATGAACCACCTACAGCTAATATCATATTTAATGATAAATTACTGAATGCTTTCCTTTCGAGATGAAGAGCAAGAAATGTGCATTATCGCTACTTCTACACAAGATTGTCCTGGAAATCCTAGGCCGTTTAATAAGACAAATACAAGACATTAAAAAGTATACACACTGGAAGGAAAGAAATAAAACCATTATTGACAAATGACATCGTTGTATACATAGGAAAGAATCTATAGGAAATTATGAGACTTAATAGGGGAATTTAGAAAGGTCACTGGATACAAGGTCAGTATTTTGAAGCTGTATTTCGATTTATTAGCAACACAAAATTAGAAAATGAAATTTAAAGAATGTCATCTATAGTAACAAAAATAGAAAAATCTACTGTAAGATGTACAAGACCTCTACATGGAAAATTATAACACATTGTCAAGAGACATTGAGAAACTAAAGAAATGGAAAGATATACCATGTCAGTTTGATGATTCAATATTATTATTATTATTGAGTAGGAGTCTCACTTTGTCACCCAGGCTGGAGTGTAGTGGCACGCTCCCAACCACTGCAGCCTCGACCTACTGGGCACTGGCGATCCTTCCACCTCAGCCTTCCAAGTAGCCAGAACTACAGGTGCACGCTACTGTGCCCAGCTAATTTTTTGATTTATTGTAGAGACGAGGTCTCACCACATTGCCCAGGCTGGTCTCGAACCCACAGACTCAGACAGTCCTCTCACTCGGCCTCCCAAAGTGCTGGGATATAGGCTTGAGCCACCATGCCTGATAGATTCAAGATTATTAAAATGTCAATTCTCTCTCTCCAAAATAATCTATAGAGCCAATGCAATAACAGCAAACTGTTTTTGAGTTTTGTTGCAGAAGCTGACAAGTTGATTCTAAATTCATTTGGAAATGCTTAGGACCTAAAATAGCTGTAACAATCTTAGGAAAGAAAAATAAAATAGGAGACTTACATTACCAGACACTGAAGCTACTATAAAGATACAATAATCGCTATGGTTTGGAGGTGTCCCCCAAAGTTTGTGTTGGAAATTTAATTCCCAGTGCAACACTGTGGAACCTCTAAGAGGTGATTAGGTCATACAGGCTCTGCCCTCATAAGTGAATTAATGCCATTATCACGGGAGTGGGTTAGTTATCATAGGAGTGGATTCCTGATTTTTAAAAAAATGTTTGGCCCCCTTCTTCTATGTGTGTGTATGTGCTCTCTTACCCTTCTGCTTCCTGCCATGGAATGACACACCAAGAATGCCTTCTCCAGATGTCAGCACCTTGACCTTGGACATCCCATCTTCCAGGACTGTAAGAAATAAATCTCTGCTCTTTATAAGTTACCCAGTCTCAGGTATCCTATTACAGCCAAACAAAACAAACTAAGACAAAAGATAGTTTGATATTGGTGTAAATATAAAAACAAACAGACCAATGAATAGAGTAGAATCCAGAAACTGACCCACACTTCAATGATCAATGAATTGTTACTGCAATCCAGTGGGGGAAAAGATGGTCTTTTCAATAAATGATACTGGATCAATTGCATGATCATATTTTTTAAAAACATGAATCTTCACTCCCACCACACATCATAGACAAAAATTAAATTGAAAGTGATTATAAACCTAAACATGAAAGGCAAAATACCAGCAACAAAAACACTCCTAGAAGAACACGTAGGAAAAATCTTCAGGTTCTTAGAGTAAGCAGGGCTTTCTTAAACAGAACACAAAATGCAGTAACCATAAATTTAAAAATTAATATATTGAACTTCACTAAAATTAATAACTCCTCTTCATCAAGAATCTCATTAAGAGGGTGAAAAGGCAAGACACAGTCTGAGAGAAGATAATTGCAATATACATGACTGCCCAAGGGTGGCATTACTATTCCTAACAGTCTCCAATTAGAAACAACCCAAATGCAATCAATAGTAGAAGAGAACAATTTATAAATTACATAGTCTCAGGTATTCTGTTACAGCACGTTCCAGGAGAATATTCATATAATGGAATATTATGTAATAATTTTTTTAAAAAATAAATGAACTTCTGCTACACATAGCATAGCTGAATCTCATGGCAATGCTGGATAAAAGAAGTTAGACAGGAAAGAATACCAAACTCCACTTAGGTGAATTTAAAACCAGGCAAAAGTTGTCTGTGATTGTAGAAGTCAGAATAATGTTACTTGGTGGAGGGTAGGTGTTATTGATCTGGAAATGAGCATGGAGCTTACAAGGGTCCTAAGAAAGTTCCACATTTTTATCTGGGTGATGATTACATGATTACATACATATGCAAAGATTTATCAAACTGTATACTTAGGATTCATATATTTTGCTTATGCATAGTACAGTATACCTAAATTTATTTTAAAAGGAGGGAGGGAGCAGTATCCCTAAACTTCTGTTTATAAAAAGTTACTTCCTTCTCACTAGAAATGCTCTGGATTCAGTGCACTGTTTCCCTTGTAACTGGTACAGTTACCGCATCTGAGCAGGGATACAGTTCCACAGCAGAAAAAAAGAAGAGGGCTGAGAGATATGAAGGTTCTGAAGAACAAGGAATACCATTGTCTAATGAAAACACCTTCTGAGAGCTGACGTCTTAGAAGTATTCTCAGGAGTGCAATATCGGCTCGGTGACGTCCCGGATCAAGTGGCCCTCTATAAATCAACTGCGGGTGCCCTCATGAGCCCGACTGCACATAGGCCATAGGTTCTAGAATTGTAAATTTTCATCTAAAATGCACCTTCTTTTCCTGGATAATGGTCATGTTACACAACAGCCTCTAGGATTGTCACAGAAAGCCAAATAAGATATCACTGCCCACTAGCTACAGAAAATCAACCTCCTCCTCCCCCTTCCTTTCCCTCTCCTTCTTCTTTTTGTAAACAGAGAAGATTAGCCTTTTCTTTTTCTTTTTCTTAAAAAAATCTCTTGGCAGGTAAATTGCTTCTCCTTTCTCAATGTGTAGGCAGTTTTATATTCCTCATCAAACACTCCAAAATTCTCAGAGGAAGTTCCCAGGACCCACTTTGAATTATTAGAAATTAAAAACAGGGACTGAAAATAAACCTTTCCTTGTAGAAATACAAACACATATTTTCAGATGAAATGGCATGATATTTGGGGCTGGGGCAGGGGTGTGGATAAGGATATGTAGATGAAACAGGACTGGCAATGAGGTGAAAATTGTTAACGGCTGGCTTACAGGAGCATCAATTATATTATACTGTTTGTTCAATTCCTATTTTTAGAAATTGTTCATGATTAAAAAAACTGAATTCACTGCAGTGAATTGATTTGCAAGGATGAACATGTCTGATCATATCAGTTCATAACTAAGGAGATTCTGACCGTTGAAGTCAGCTTACCATTTCTCATCATCTTGGAAAATGAAAAATTCCAAACTGATCACCAAGTCACTAATTATTTTCTGCCATCAACATGCTCTTCACTAACTGGTGTCCAAGCTTGGAGTTTAGTAGTTTGTTCGTTTCATTTTGATTGCTAAAGAGCATGTTGGTTCTGATGCATGCATATTTTTTATCTGAGTTCTTTTTTTTTTTTTTTTTTTTTTGAGTTGGAGTCTCACTCTGTTGCCCAGACTGGAGTGCAGTGGCTGCTCCCGGCCACCGCAGCCTCGACCTGCTGGGCTCCGGCGATCCTTCCGCCTCAGCCTTCCAAGTTGCCAGAATTACAGGCATGTGCTACCATGCCCGGCTGATTTTTTGATTTATTGTAGAGATGAGGTCTTGCTGCCCAGGCGGGTCTCGAACCCGCGGGCTCAAGCAATCCACTCACCTCAGCTTCCCAAAGGCGCGGGATTATCGGCT